TGGAGCTGTGTCTGAGCACCCCAGGGAGGACTTGGCCGCTCTCGCCTCGAGATAAGACAGTTGATGCCAAGAATGTGGGGATGTTGGGCCAGATCCATCTCCACTGTTCTGCTCTTCATTAACTAAATAGCTGGTGAGAAGAATTGACTGGGAGTGAGGGGGCAGGGATGGTGTCCCTGAGGCTGGTTTGGGGCTGCAGGGAAGCGGCCCTTGCTCCAAGGAGTGTCCCAGGGAAGGGCACAATCAGACTTTCTACCTACTGTGCCTTTCCATGTCCGGTTTGGTGGTGAAGCTTATGGCAAAGACCAACATAATGAACTGCTGGTCTTCCACCTCTTGGGCTGTGCATCCAAATTGTAACCACAGCTCCTTTGTGCCAGCTGAGGCTGTGGTGGAGCCATGGGAGAGGGCACCATCCACCCACACTGCTGAAGTGGCACCAGAAAGCTCCTGGGTCCCACCTAGAGCTGTTATTCCCAAGATGATGCAGAGCTGCTGCCTTTGTTTGCTTTAAAAAGGTTTTTAAGTTGGGGGTTGACTTTGGGCAGGTGAGAGGCTGTAGGGAGGATGCCCTTTGACTGGATGGGGAGGCTGTTTCTCCTCTCAAACCGATAAATGGAAATATCTGTCGCAGAGGCTTCGTTGTTGCCTCTCTTGGCTCAGAATTCTTTTGAGAGCGTGTCACCACAATCACCAGGGCCTGTGGGTTTTCCATAATAGCCTGTCACCAGCTCACGGCTCATTAGCTGAGTGGTGGGTTGCAAAGAGGGGGTTGGTGTGGGGAACTTGTGGGGACAGTGGCTGCCCGAGCCCCGGGCCATGGGCTTTGTGCACCAGGAGCTGGGCAGCCTTTATCCCACTGAGCTTTAGCCCAAGTGCCAGATGAGGCTCGAGTCCTTTCTTACAGCTGGTATTTCTTACAACAGAGGGATAATGTAGGGTATGGAAGGGAGCCTCTGTGCAGGGGGAGGACATGGGCAGGGTCCTGTGCAGTCTGTGGGTGCCTGTGTCGCTGCAGCTCTGTGAGTTATTTTATGGCAGTGTCACACAGGCTGGCAAACCCCTCACCTGCTGAGTTTAAACACTGCCAGCGAGCTGACAGCCTGTTTAACCTCTGGCATCCACAGCCATGCCATGTTCTGCATCAGGTTTTTAGTGGAGCAGGTGTGGAATCACCCTGGCAGCTCCAGCCTTGCCGTCGCTTTCCTGCCGGTCACACAGGAGGGTGGCACGATGGAACGTGCTGGTTGTGCAGGCTGGCACACGGGTGTCCTGTTGTGAGGCCATGAGGTGATCCCCAAGGATGGCTGGGGTTGCTCTTCCCTGTTTTCCACCCAGGAAAGCTGCAGTGCCTGCCCGGGCTCAGGTGCAGGCAGAGGTGCCAGAGCTGTTGTTTTGTTCACAGCTCGTTTCCTCCCGTCCCGGTGCAACAGGAAATGTGGCAACGGTTTATGGTTAAAAGCTTCTGTTTTTTCTTCCTTTAGCCAGAATTGCAGATTCTGCACCAGAAGCTTTGCACAACCGGAGGTCGGGGTGGATTTGTGAAGAGCAAAGAAGTGGCTGATTTGATCACACGGGAGGAAGGAGCAGCACTTCTCCTCTCAGGCCCCTTCCCAGGGCTCCCCCACTGTGGGGCTGGTGCTGCTGGGCTGCTTTGGGTCTCACTCACAGGCGGGTTTTGGTCTGTAGGACAGAAAAGCAGAGTTTCCAGCTGTGAGGAGTGCAGGCTTGGGATGGATGGGTGGTCCCTGCTGGGGCTCACGGCATAGCCAGGCCTGAGCATCACTGAAGGGTTGAGCCCTTGGAGCCTCAGTGCCCTTTATAGTCCCACAGAGCTCCCTAAATAGCTGCTGGAGCTGGGATGGCCCCACTGTGGATCCTGTGGGACAGCTTTTCCCCCATGACCTCGTTGCTTGGCCGTGGATGGAGCGTGTGCCCCAACTCTCACCCGGACACCCCCTGTGCCTGTGCCGGGGTGGCTGCAAGGAAGGAGATTGTTAAAACTTCCTTTCCCTTCAGCAGGAGGCTGCAGGAGGAAGGTGAGCTGGCAGGGGGCTGAGCAAGCCATGAGAGCAGCAGGTCCATGTGATCTGCCCTGCCTGGGGGAGGCAGGACACCCGAGGCTGGGCAGTGGTTTGTTGAAGCAGTCGTGTGGTGACGTGGTGTGAGACCTGTGACGTGCCCCGAGCCAGGCTTCCTCCTGCTGTTCTTGGAACCCACAGCCACACCACCTGCCTCGTGCCTGCTGTGGGTCCCTGGGGCCCAGCACTGCTCCAGGCTCACGTGTTCCCGGGTGCTCCGTGTGTCCTCCATGGAAACCAGGCAGCATCGGAGCACGAGCTGCTCCCAGGGCTCTTAATTGCTGGCACACGTCGTGTCCCTCAGCTGGAAACATCCCAGGAGGGGAAGAGGCAGTGACAGGGACAGGCTGAGCTGCTGTGTTTGCTTTTTCCACGTGTGTCTAGGTGGATGGATGGGTGGGTGGATGGATGGTTGTGTTTGTGCCACGGATGACGTGTGGTGAACGTGCACAGCCTCAGCCCTCAGCTCTGCTGTGCAGCTACAACCCTCTGTGCATGTCAGGGGGGATGGTCCTGGGGGTCCCCTGGGCTCTCTCCCTGTGTAATTGAGATGGGGGTCAGTCCTGGGGAGGCTGTGCCTGTCTCAATGCTGTGAAATGGGTGACATGAGGAAGTGCAGGGTTTCTGACAGCTCCTCCTCTGTTAACGTAAAGGGAAGGGGTTTTTTTTTGTTTGTTTGCTTTTCTCTTTATATTTTTCCCCTTTTCCCCAGTGCTACTTCTGAAAATCTCAACCCTTGGCATTGTTTTTTTAAAGGCTCCCCTGCCAGCCCAGCACCTGTGTGCAGCCACATAGGAGTTGCTGCAGCTGATGTATCACAAACTGTGTATTTGACAAATTGTGGAGTGGAAATTGCCATAATGATCAGTGGATGTTTATGTGAGATTCTTAAATACCCCAGGAATACTTGTCATTTATTTTCATAGAAGCACAGACTGATCTGGGTGGGAAGGGACTTTAAAGATCATCGTGTTCCACCCCCCTGCCATGGGCAGGGACACCTTCCACTAGCCCAGGTTGCTCCAAGCCCTGTCCAACCTGGCCTTGGACACTTCCAGGGATGGGGCAGCCACAGCTTCTCTGGGCAACCTGTGCCAGGGCCTCCCCACCCTCCCAGGGAACAATTCCTTCCCAATATCCCATCTGAATCTCCCCTTTTCTAGTTCAAAGCCACCACCCCTTGTCCTGTCACTCCATGCCTGTGTCCAAAGTCCCTCTCCAGCTCTCTTGGAGGCCCAAGGAAGGCACTGGATGAGGAGACTGCAGCACACTGTCAGTGTTCTCCCTGGGGTTGCTGCTCCAGGTCGGTGTTTCCAGAGATCTCGTGCTGTTTGTTCGTCTCCAGCGGAAATTGTGAAATTTGTGACCTGTCACTCGGGGTTTGCTTGAATGAATTTGGGGCTCTCGAGTCCCAGGACTGCAGCTGTCTCTCCAGATTGCAACCAGGCTCTCTCAGTTTGTCCTGTGCTTGATTCTCCTCCTAAAAGAAATATCCTGGGTAGCCTTGGGCAATATTGGCTTATTTACAGCTTGCTGCGTCCTTGTCTTGTGTGCTCTGGAGCTGCCTGGGAAGAGACAAGCTTTGTTCCCAAAGCTGCCTTTTTTCCCCTTTCTTTTCATTGTCAAAGGTTGCAGTTTTTATTCTGAGCCTTCCTGGCCTTGATGGCACATCCCTTCACGCTTTCTGCTCTCTGCTAATGCCAACTTCTGAGCAAGCCCACAGAAAATCTGGGAGCGCTGAGCACAGTTCCAGGCAGCGCTGGCAAAATGCATTCACAGGCTGTCTCCAGGGAAGGTGGTGAGTTCTGGGAAGGCAGCAGAGCTCTGTGCTGGGAGATCCAGCCCACTGAGCATTGCCCAAGACACACACGGGCTTGTTTGCAGCAGATTTAGCAGATAAAGCAGGCGGGGCTTGAGAGGAGACCTGCTCTCCTGGCTGGAGGGGAACCAGGGGAGGTTTAGAGTGGATATTGGGGAAAAAATCCTTCATTGAAAGGGTGGTCAGGCATTGGAATGGGCTGCCCAGGGAGGTGGTGGAATCACCATCCCTGGAGGTGCTCAGAAAGCCTGTGGATGTGGTTTAGTGGTGAGCACGGCAGCGCTGTGCCAGCAGCTGGACTCGCTCTTAGAGGTCTTTTCAGACCTTGACGATTCTGGGATTATTCATCACTGACATTTCCATGGGTGGCCTTCAGGTGAAGCCCACCTACGTGCCAGATCTGTTGGTTTTGCCTCCCAAGAGGAAATTCCCCCAAACCCAGGCGAGCAGCGGCCGCCGTCACCCTCCCTGTGAACCCACGTGTGGGCAGACGGTCTCTGACACGGGCTGGGGATGCTTTGACTGGCTTTGCAGTGACTGATTTATTAGTCATGCAGCAGTCTTGCTGCCTGTGTGGTATTATTGCTCTGAGCTATAATTTCCACAGCTTTGGACGAGAGCAGTGAGAGATTTAACTTCAGGTTCTGCCTGGGTGAACCCGCTGGGAGCTGCTTGATGAGCACCCTGGGTTTTGGGGAGGCAGAGCCATGAATATTGGAAATGGGACGTGATTTTTTTTCCAAACTGCATCACAAGAAGTAGCTGAGTGCTCACAGGTGCAGGTGGCTTTGCTTTGAAAGTGAGTTTTAAAGGCTGGATTTTTTTGCCCTGGTTTGTACTGGGGTGTTTCACTGCTTTGTGTCACTAACTGGTGGGTTTTGTCTTGCCCTCCACTGCCTGTTCCTGGTGTCCAGGGGTGGTTTGGGGGCAGGGGTGTGGCACCCTGCACATTTGGCCTCCTGGCTGCAGGGACCATCCCCACCTGTGAGCTCAGGATCTGCACAGGGTCTGCTCCTGCTTTCCCAAGGAAAAGCAGAGCTGAGCAGATGGAGTGTTACCCAACACATAAAGCAGCTCAAGCCCTTCTCTTCTGATTGCAGAATGTGACACAAACAGTAGAAGAAGAAAAGCCCGAGCCTCCGACCGTCCAGGAGATCAAACAGAGGATTGAGAAGTACAACGCCAAGGTCACAAACTGCCTGTTGATGAAGCTGGTACGTACTGGGCTGGTTTTGTCTCATCCACAGGGGCTGGTGCTGTGAACTGAGCCAGCCTGGGGGAAGGTGTCACTGGGGCAACAGGGTTTGTGGCTGTTCAGCTGCTTTTCATCCTGCTTGGCTTCCCCTAGTGACCAGCACTGCAGATAACCCTTCCCTGCCTCCATCCCTTCAGGCTGGCACAGTAATCTCTGGCCAGCCTGTGCTGGCAATGACTTGCCACAAATAGATGAGCCCACGTTGTTCTGGCGGGGATGAGTCAGGCTGGAACTCGGGCTCTGACGCTGCAGTTCAGAAACATAAGGAGTATTTAAAAGCACAAAAATCTTTCTAGAAAGAGATGCTCCTCCCCTCTCCACTGCCAGACTTGCTTAAACAGAGGTCTAAGAAGCTTTGTGTTTTGAAGCTTTTATTGCAAGCTTGCTTATTGCCATCTTTAAGTAAAGCAATGTGGTGAGAAAACAAGGAAATCCCCTCTTTTGCACACTGGAGTAACACAAAGGTACAAACTTCACAGGAACTTACAGAGAGGGGACAGAGCTTCTTAAAGAGTAAAATAATTAAATTGTAGACCTTCCAAGAATAGCAGCTACGTAACTCCCTGGTTCTTGACGACATCTGAAAATAGACCTGAAATTTATTTAAAACAGTAGCTGTTACAACAGTTGCCTCAGTGGAGGCTGCAGAGTAACTCTGCTGGAATGTCATCCCATTGATCTTGATCACCCCTTGACTTACAGGAGTCAGTTGGGACCCAAATGTTTACTCTTGAGTTGCTTTGCTTGGAGTTTAGCAAAAACCCAGTGTTGGGAGTTGATCTGGCCCTGGGACTCAGCTGCTGGTGGTGGGACCACAGGCCCAGTGTTCCCAGCTGGTTCCTGCCTGGCACCCACGGATGGACTGTGCAGAACCAGGCTTGTCTCCTGATTTCTGCATTTTTGCAGAGCTGAGGGTGGGGTAAGAGACCTGTGAGGAGACAGGCTGATCTCCAGTGGTGATTTCTGACATGGTGATGTGAGAACCCCCTGGGCCCAGCTTAAAACATGAGGGATATGGCTGGGAGATCCTGCTGAACACGAGGGCACAGCCCTTCCCAGGGGTTTCACTTAAATGCACTTAAATGCAACTACAAATTCCATGTAATGGTTTCCATAACTGAGTCGTAGCAGCGCTGGTTTGAAGTAAACCAAGATCACACAGGGGAAGGGCTGAGTCATTGCTGAGGGGAAGGGACAGGAGAAAATCTGTGACTGACCCGAAATCACCGGTTACTTTTTACATGATTAATAAGAACCCCCCAAACCCCAGTGGCACCAAGGGGGGGGGCATGTCCTGCAGACCAGAAAGGTCTGAGGGGCTGAGGAAGCCTGACCTGCCTCTCCTGTGCTTCAGAACGAGGATGGGACGTATACAGGTTTCATCAAAGTGCACTTGAAGCTGCGCCGGCCCGTGACGGTGCCGGCCGGGATCCGGCCCCAGTCCATCTACGATGCCCTCAAGGAGGTGAACTTGGCTGACATGACGGACAAGAGAACCTCCTTCTACCTGCCCCTGGACGCCATCAAGCAGCTCCACATCAGCAGCACGACCACGGTGAGCGAGGTGATCCAGGGGCTGCTGAAGAAGTTCATGGTGGTGGATAATCCCCAGAAGTTTGCACTTTTCAAGGAGATGCGGAAGGACGGGCAAGGTGAGTTCGGGCCCTCGGACCCCGCCAGCTTTGCTGTGGCTGGTGGGTTTTGCTTCTGTTTTGTGTTGCAGAAATGCACCCAAAGTCCTGTAGGAATCAGTGGGATGTCAGGCAGGCAAAGTCTAAATCCAGGTGAATAAATGGACAGAGCTCTGCAGGAGGGGATGCTGCTTAAGTTAACAGGGGAATTATGTTTTCAAAAGGAGCCGAAACCACTTTATAAAGATCATTATGGACCTGTGGTAGAGACTCAGCCCCTTCCCCCATGATCCTGAGCAGCATGACCCTCTTTTACATGCTCCAATTGACCTCTTGAGCTTTCCTGTGCCCTAGCAGCTACAACCTCACTGTGGATGTTTGCTGTGCCCTTGCAGTGCTCTTCCAGAAGCTCCCTCTCACCGAGTACCCTCTGTACCTCCGGCTGCTGGCAGGCCCTGACACAGATGTGCTGAGTTTTGTGCTGAAGGAAAACGAAACAGGGGAAGTTGAGGTATGTGGGGGCCTCTTTGCCTTGGTTTTCACATGAACATTTTGGAGCACGTGGCAGAGCTGGGAGGTGCGTGGCAGAGGCAGCACGGGTGAAGTGGTGCCACGCCAGAAAGGCTGTTTCCTTTTATTTGGGGCTGGGTTGGCCATTTGTTGCTCCTAAGTTATCTGGATTTTTAAAACAGTTTAAACTCGAGCTGTGAAAATGCTGAGGCCAGTTTTGATGGCCACCCCATAATCTGTTTGTGGAACCCAGCAGTGCCACCCCTGACTTAATCCTCACTAATTAGATTAGCTGAACACTGTCAGAAATAATCCACGTATTTAAGTGGAAGCCAGGGATGCTCAGGTAATAAATTCACATCAGTTTTTGGTTGCAATCTTGCTCCTCACCACAGTGAAGGGAAATGCTGGGAGCTGCTGCATCCCGTGGGATTCTTCCTCGTGTGCTGTGGGGTGGCTGGGACGTGCTGTGCTGACAGAGGAGCAGGACTGGGGTTGGGAAGGATGCCATGGGAATGCTGGATTCCTGTGGCAGTGCTGAGCAGGCACACAGCAGTATTTATTAAGTGATCAGAGTCATCAGTCTGTGTCCTGCCTGTCCCTTGCTGTCAGGTGACAGCTGAGCAGCCTGTGTGTGCCAAGGGCTTTACTGAGGCTCAAACAGTTTGGATAACTGAGAAAAAATCAAGAGAATTGGCTCCTCTGGGCAGAGTCACCACTGGGACCTCGCTCCCCTTGCACCAACAAGTGTGGGTGGATGTCACATCCACTACTCCCACATGGATTTCAGTTCCTTGGGGAATTGTGGCATCTCCTGCAGTGGGAGCTTTAATTCACCTGAGTAAAGATGATTTTTATTGCTTCTACAGTCTCAGGGGCTCAGGACTGGGATGGTCCTTCCTGCTGTAGCCCCTTATCCCATCTCTCACAATATGAGGTTAAGCTCCCTGGAGATCAGATATGGTTAAATATCTTTTATTGTTCCACTTCACAGATCGAGGGGGGAAAATAACCCACCAAACCCATAAGGTGAACGGGGTGTGCTCACTTTGTTTCTGCTGGTTTTGCAGTGGGATGCCTTCTCCATCCCAGAGCTTCAGAACTTCCTGATGATCCTGGACAAAGAAGAAAAGGACAAAATCCAGCAAGTGCACAGGAAGTACGAGAGGTTTAAACAGAGACTGCAACAGACCTTGAAAGAAGCCAGAGGCAAACCTGGATAATCTTCAGGAGGCACCAGGCATCGGACTAAGCTAGATACTGTTTTTGAATGAAAAGACACTTCTCAGGACACCTTAGTCACTCTCCCTCTTCATCCTTCCATTAAGGACTTGGCTCCCAGCACCCCTAAAACGATCCTATTGCATTTTCTTCTTCTGAAACCTCTTTATCCCAGGACCAGAGCCAGTCCAAGAACGGGAAGCCTGTTTTAAAGCAGGTCAACAAACCAAACACAGCTGCTGGTTGGCTTTTCAGCTGCACCATCCGATGGAGAGGCTCCGTGGAAAATCCTCACTGTTAAACCCAACAGGAACATCTCCTGGCCAAGTGTTTTGAGCAGGGCAACACTTGCTGTTCGTGCTCCTCCCTCAGCTTGGCTCGTTCCTGTTCAGAGGTGCTCCAGCCCACGTGGCCCAGTTCTGGTTTTGCAAGGAGAGCACAGGAAGCAGCAGAGAAAGGGGAGGAGGTTGTTGCACCAAACCACGTGGGTGTTGCAGCTGTAACCAGTGCTGGACGGACTTGTTCAGGGCTAAGGTAGCCAGGGAAGTGCCAAGTTATGACACCAAGGCAGCTGCAACACCCAAACAGGCTGTTGATAAGTATTATTGAAACTTGGTAACATTAATTCCGGGAAAAGTCGTTCGTTTTGGTTCTGTTTGACTTCTACTTTTGCGAAGGTGAATTAAAGCAAATACCCCTGATGCTTAGCTAAGCCAGTATTTTATGAGTTTCCTGCTCTGTAGGAATTGGCACCTATGTTTTAGGAAATTCTGTTTGAAAAGTGTAAAGATGATGGTTAGGGCATAGGCTGATGGCTCAGTATTGAATGTTTAGCAATACATCTCCAACAGACTAACCCAGGAAAGCTCAAAACCCCTTCACAAATCAGGCTGCTTTTGAGCTGTGAACAGGTCTGGCACCGAGGGGGAGGAGCTCCAACCAGGGCTGGGGTGTGGAGGTGGCACCAAGAGCGTGTGAGAAAGCCTTAAGACCAGGAGTAAGGGAATTATTGACCTTGGATGCTTTCTGCTCCCCCCCATCCTGTCCTTCCTCCTTGCACTGCTGTCCATGACACCCCTGTGCCACTCTGGGTCCTGTTCTCAGCCGGTGCTCACCCAGGGAGGTTCCCAGGTCCTGCTCTCTCCGTGGAGTTAGGAGAGGACAGCAGGTCTCTCTCCCTATCTCAGGGCTCCCACTGGATGCACACGCTGAGCATCCCTCAGAAAACTCCTCGAGCTGGAGCCTCAGCTCCTGCCCTCACTCTGACCAGAGTCCTGACGGTGCTGGTGCCACGGCCGGGCAGGGGAGGCTCCAGGGATTCCAGTGGGACAGGATGGGCCCCACGTTTACTCTGTGCTTCCTACCAAGCACGTTGCACACAGCCAGGGCCAGCCCTGCCTCTGTTTACACAGGCCACCACAACGAGGCGGAGGGAAAAGGGAATGTTAGTGCTGCTGGATTGGGATGGAGCACGGGAAAGGGATTCCTGTTGGCTTGATGAGCAAAGCGTCCCTTTGAGCTCGTGGGCTGCTCTGATCCCACCTGCATCAAGTGGGAGGGGAGGCAACAGGTTATTGGGTAACGTGGAGGAGTCTAAAATTTACCTCAGTGCCTTTTTTTTTTTCCCTTAAGTGTGAAAACTTTGCATTTTGGGCTAAGGAGGAACCTGGAAAGGGCTTCTGTCAAGAGGCCTTGATGCTCCTGCCCCCCCAGATACCCAAAGTACTGGTGTGATGAGGCTGCTTTTGTCTGTAGAGGGACGAGGAACTGTTTTGTTTCTTTCTGGAAGGTGACTGCTTGGGATTTTGGTTTTTTTTCCAGATTTGGAGAGCATGTTTGTTTGTAAACCATATGAGAGTAAACTGAGAGTAACTGCATCTCTTAAAGCCACTTTCTGCAGCTCCTGTTTTGGTCAGTAGTGAGAGGGTTTTGCTCCCAGGGCAGGAAGGGCCTCCAGCTGTACTGTACTCTGCACCTGATGACCTTTAACAACGTGGTGGCAGCCACAGAGCAGCAATTTCCACGCTCTGGGGCTGTTTGTCCAGTTACAAGAAGACTTATTGCTTCACTATTCACTCGTGAAGCAATTTAAATAACATTTTATCTAGTGCTTCGAGTCTTGAAAGCACCATATAAATATTTCTGTTCCATCCAGGGGGAAAAACACTGTAAAAAAAAACTGCCATTGGTTCTGAGAAGTAAGATCCACACGCTTGGATTTAAAACTGTTTTAAATCCCTTTTCTTTCTGGCTGAAAGTTGTGCAGATTTCTTCTTCTTTTTTTTTTTTTTTTTTTTTTTTTTTTTGGTGGTTGTTGTTTTTCTACCAGTTTTGGTGACTCCCTCCCTGGCCCCCAGCATGTCTTTGACAGTTTGTAGAAGGCATGGCTTCTTATGCAATCACTGTGGATGCTGCTGAAAACCTCCTGCCAAGAGGAGGGCTCTTTCTTTTGTTTGTTTTTTTTTTTTTCCCAAGATAAAGGGGCATTTGAAGAATTGTTAAGTCTTGAAACTCCAATTCTCATAGGTCAGTTGAGCTGTTTTTAGAAGTATTGGCCCCTTCTTTAAGCAAAATACTGTTGGCAGTGCCTTTGGTTAGCAATTGTCTTGCCTAGGTCGTGTGAGTTTATTTTTCATGTCTACTGTAAAACATGTAAAATACTGTGTATAGGATGGAATAGCAAAGCTTCTATGGCAAAGTGAAATGCATTTTTTGCAATGCTGTAATTTATTTTTACTACTCCCTAGTGATTCTATGGCATTTTTAAAAAATGTCTCACTTTCAGCTTTTTTTGAAGGTTCTGAAACTACTTGTTCATATGCAGACAGTGTAAGAGACAATGATAATAAAACTGTCAGTGATTAAAGAAATCTCTTTACTTTCTTTTTCTGGCGCCCTCCTATGGAACTTCCATGCATTGAGTCTAAAGGGGAAAACAGGAATCCTCCCTAGAAGTGAATTTCTATTTTCTAACCCCACTGTAAAGTGTTTAAGCTTCATTTTGAGCTACAGAACATCTGTGGAACCTGACCCGAGTGTTCCATTAATCTTTCTTAATATTTCAGCTGGGTTTAACAGAACTGTTACCTGTGATAAATTACAGCTAATGTCATACATTAAAATGTATTTATATATATATAAATAACATAAACCATAAAAGTCCAGCTAATAGAGTTTGTTCTCAGTGCTGAAATGTCTGTATTATTACCTGGAAATGTTTAAAAGGCTAAAATCTAAAGGCAAATGGGTTTTTACTTCTGACAAACATAATTATGGCAGAGCACTGAGGCTGTCCCAGGATGATGTGTTGGAATGCATTTTGCTCACATTTTATCACATGCCCTTAATCAAAAACTCAAAGCAAAAATGTTAAACTACCCAAAAGCCACTGCAGCCAGAAAATCAGTGTATCACTAGGAACTCCTACAAAATATGACAAAAGGATAACGCCAGGGGTTTTATTGAGCTTTTTATTTTTATGAAAAATGAACACCTGGAGCAATATCATTATTTGGGTGAATTCCAGACCTTGTAAACATCCAGGACTCAGCTTTGAACGAACAGGGCCTGCACATGATCCTTGATTTGCTGGCAGAAAACACTCCTAGAAACAGCAGATTTTTCTCCTACTTCTTCCTGCCGAGCTTTGGAGCCTTCTCCAGGCCTCGGATGTACTTCCGAGGGAGCTGATACTCCTCTGCAACACAACCAAGAGTTCACTCACTTCAGCTGAACAAGCTCAAGAATTAAAATCACATTCTCGCTGCAACCAGCCCCAGAATCCACTCACCCAGCAGGATCTTGGCCAGGTGATGGATTTGGTTCCCTTGGATCTGGACCTGAACTCTGTCTTTGGCTCCTGGTACCGGGTTGAGGGTGGCACTGGCTTGTGCTTTCTGTTGCAGGGTGTTGGCCACACACTGGGGGTCCAGACCATAGGGCTCCAGGTTCTTGATAATTGTCACCTGTGGGGTTAATGAGGATTGCAAACACCCCTGCTGGAGGAATCAGCAAATCACGGCTCCCTCAGCCCAGAAAAAGGAGCTGCCAAAGCTGCTCTTGGGATCTGGGCTTCTGCTCAAGCACCCTAATTTCAGTTCTCTTTTTTACCTTCTTATTTGATGATCTCTGGGCTATGGTTATGTCGATGTGTGCGATGTATCCCTTCCTCACAACAGGTTCTTGTCCAACAAAGGTCACCTGGTGGAAGGGCTGCAGTCGTTCAAGGCACCTGAATAAAGTTTAGACACCCAATTACTCAGTGCAGCAGTTCATTGTGCAGCCTCTCACAGGTTTTTGGAAGCACAAGAAAGCCAAGACTGTACGTGGAATAAGAATTTGTATCTTAAGAAGATAATGAAAGATGGTCTCCTGAAAAGGTTTGCATCCCAGCTATGATTTAAAGAAAGGGAGTGACTAAAAAGAAAGCAAGTCTACTGACTCACAAAAATTATAGCTTAGATGATAAAAGTTTTACCAGGTACAAATTAGTTCTCTTGCAGAGGAAAAATCTTATTTCATTTGGCCTTTAATCTATTGTTCAGCTGTTTTTCACAGACTGGAGAAGCAACTTCAGTTTAAAATTCAGCATAAATTGTGTTCCTGACCCACGAGCAAAGCTGAGTTCAGAAACAAAGGAAGCAGCTGGAGGAGCCTCAGAAACATGGTATGATGAAGAAACTCAAGGTAATAAAGACACTGGATATATTTAGGCAAAATATATGGAAATGATCTTGTGTCAGATACTTGGGGCTCTTAGATCTAAAAGGTGGAGTTAGGTTATAAATGCAAAAGTTGTCTTGAAGCTGAAAGAGGATATTGGGAAGGAATTCTTCCCTGGGAGGGTGGGCAGGCCCTGGCACAGGTTGCCCAGAGAAGCTGTGGCTGCCCCACCCCTGGAAGTGTCCAAGGCCAGGCTGGAGCAACCTGGGCTAGTGGAAGGTGTCCCTGCCCATGGCAGGGGGTGGAATGAGATGATCCTTAAGATCCCTTCCAACCCAAACCATTCTGGGAGTCTCTGAAGTTGTGCTGCACAGAGGAGCAGGCTGACTACCTACAAAGGGCATGTTCAGTTATCTACTGCAAAGATGACTTTATAAATATGTACACATGGATTATACACAGAACCAGCCACTGTTTGTTTAGGAAGTGTTCCTTGATAAGTGGTTACCAGGTAAACAAAAAAAACCCTCCAACAGTAGTTAATTGTATCTACTCATTAAATAAAGAATGAGATCGTTCAAGTGGAGGTCTCTGGCTACTTTTGTTGTATTACCAGCAGGAAGTTAAAACTTTACCAGCTCCTAACATGTGGCTTTGAGTTGCATGCAATAAACCTGTGTGATTCTGAAAACTGGGAAAACACTGGGAAAACAATCACCTGCTCAAGAGGTCATCCCATGTAAGGTGTGAGATCTCATCTTGTTCTGATTTTTCTAACAGGCAGTCACACAGAATGGCATTCACCTTCACAAGGCTGCAAAACAAAAACATGCATTAGAAGCAAATCACTTTTGCCCTCTAATTTCAGCATTTTCCATGGAAACAGGGCAGGAAAACTCACTTTTTGTTTGATTCATCCACCAACTCGTTAGTCTTCACATAGTTAATGATGATGTCTCTCACCTCATTGCTTGAGAGGACGCTGCCTTTTCTAAAGAGAAAGAACATTTTGAACTTACTACTGTAATTATTTGAATGCTGAGTTCTGGCACAAACAGCAACTACCCTGATTGCATTCAGTAGCAACAGCAAAATACTGATATTTATCTGCTAAAAAGGGGTTTCTTGCTATGCCTCAGTTGCTGTACTGAGATTAAAGGCTCAGAGCAATAATTACAGAGATTCTAACCTTGTTTTGGGAGCCTAGTTTGGGGGGGATGACCCTAATGCACACAAAGGCTCAGCTGAAGAAAGACTGAGTACAATCTAAACTACAGCAAAACAGGCAAGGTAAGGGCACAAGGAGGCAAGTGAGTTCTTTAAATTACCTCTTTTAAGTAAACCACATGTGGGTGGGCAGGATATACCTCATCCAATGGGAAATTAAGACAATCCAAGTAAAATGTATCAATTTTGACACTTGAGCTATCACCTCCTCAGCTGTGGGAGAAGTGATGTACTTGCTGAAAGCAGCTGTCACAGCCTCTCATCTCTCTTCCCTTTTTGAAGCAATGAATCTCTTCCTGAGTGCCATCACAGCCTGGCAGGGCCCTCCCCAGGAGGGCAGACAAATGGTATCAGGTTTGTTTGTCCCTCTCTTCAGGTAACAATGGTTTTGTTGTACTTCTCTAGTGCTTACCCATGTCCAGACTCCTGGAAGAGTGGGACCATTTGGGTTGAGACCCCATAAAGAGGAATGATTTCAGGAGCATGGTACACTTGTTCCCCATCTTCATTCTTGCTGTCTTGGGCAGCAGAGGCTGAAGAAAATTCTTCAGGGACTGCAAATGCTTTAATGCTGAAATAAGGATTGTTTGGTGTGAGTGAAAGGGATTGAAAGTTCTCACTTCCATTGCACTGGGAGTCCAGTTAACCTGGAAGAACTTTACAAGAGCAGGAAACAAGAAATTATGTACAGAAAGAGGGTAAAAAACCCCTCTAGAGCATATTAAAATCAGGAAATGAGGGCTCTACAGCTATTCAGGAATTCAAGCAGAGTATAGGAAATAGAGCTGGAAGCAGCAGGTTCCACTCCCTTATTTCAGAGATTACCAACTTGTTTAAAGACTGGGATATTCTACGTACTCTGGGTGTTTCCAGTCCACTTCCACAATGCTCTCCACACCTTTGTTCAGCTCCTTCACTTGTAAGATCTTCTGGTTCTGCATGGATTGCAGGAATTTGGAGAACTGAAGGAAGCAACCATCAGAAATGTGGAGTCAAGCATTTTAAATTGCTGATCACGTGTTTCTGACTACCCTGAAGTTACTTGCTAAATCAGAAAAACTTCTTTTAAAGAAAAAAAACCCCCACATCCCACACCTTTGCTTCTCAATTGCTAAGGAGCAGTGAGTGCCTCTGTAAAACAGAGTAGAAGCAAGTGTTCCTTTGGTAGGTCTCAGTACATGGTGGCAGAGAGCATCAGCTGCATTCCAAGCAGATCCATGCTCATGCCTTCAGAATAATTACTTTTTCCCCTGGATCCCACAGGAGCAGAGAAAAAGAACCTGGCTTTTAAGAACAGCTTCTAGGTTTTTTTGGTTTGTGTGTTTTACTAACGCTTGAACACTTCTGACTTCAAACTTTTCCTTTCCTCCTGTTTCTTATTTAAATCATTGGGAAAAAAAAATAAACCCACCAGAAAAATCTCACCTTCTTATAGCTTGATTTCTTTATGTCCAGTTGTTGTCCAGCAGGGCTACAAATGGATTTTTTAAAATTTCTTTAGTTATAAGTCACCCTTCATTTCTTCTTAAATCTTGCTACTTAGGCTAGAAGTTTCTTAACAGTGGAAATACAAATCACATAGAGAAAGAATTACTTAAGAAGCCAATAAATAGAACATGATGAGTGAAACTAGTGCTGACGTTCTTGTGGACAGGCAAACAGCCATTCAGGTGAATAAACCATCCTGAAACAAGTGTCAGCCAGCTCAAGTTGGCAGATCCAGGTCTGGACAATCCTTACATCCAAGTATTTGATGTAAGGATTATATTTGATCAAAGCATTTGATGTCACAAGTGAGCATAATCTTAGACCATCGTAGATAAGGACTGGATTCTACTTTTGAGTCAAAACCTTCATCCTAAATATCAATCTCCATGTTTTAAAGCCCAAATCCCAGCATGCAAATCCCAAGGCAATCCTTGTACCACGTACCAGCAGGAGAACATGTGGCTTCTCAGGAATGTGCTGGTGAGCAGAGGGA